CCAACATTTGTTGAAGACTGTCTTTTCCCATTGGATATTCTTTCCTGCCTTTTCAAAGATTAGTTGACCATAAAGTTGTGGGTCCAGTTCTGGGCTCTCTATTCTGTTCCACTGATCTATGTGTCTGTTTCTGTGCCAGAACCATACTGTCTTGATGATGACAGCTTTGTAATAGAGTCTGAAGTCCAGAATCGTAATGCCACCAGCTTTGGTTTTCTTTTTGAGGGTTGCTTTGGCTATTCGGGGTCTTTTGTGGTTTCGTACAAATTTTAGGATTATTTGTTTTAGCTCCATGAAAAATGCTGGTATTATTTTGATAGGGATTACATTAACTGCGTAGGTAGCTTTGGGTAGTATAGCCATTTTAACGATGTTTGTTCTTCCGATCCATGAGCATGGAACGCTTTTCCATTTCTTTATGTCGTATTCGATTTCTTTTATGAGTGTTCTGTAGTTTTCAAAGTACAGACCTTTTTCCTCTTTAGTTAGGTTTAGTTATCTTATTGTTTTTGGTGCAGTTACAAATGGGATCAATTCCTTGATTTCTTTTTCTGCTGCTTCATAATTGGTGTATAGAAATGCAACAGATTTCTGCACATTGATTTTATATCCTGCAGCTTTGCTGAATTCACGTATTAGTTCTAGCAGTTTTTTGGTGGAGTCTTTCGGGTTTACAGTATCATGTCATTTGCAAATAGTGAAAGTTTAACTTCTTCCTTCCTGATTTGAATAACTTATATTTCTTTTTGTTGTCTGATTGCTGAGGCTAAGACTTCCAGTACTATGTTAAATAGTAATGGTGAGAGTGGACGTTCCCGTCTCATTCCTGACTGTAGGGGAAAGGCTCTCAGTTTTTCCCCATCGAGGAGGATATTGGCTGTGGGTCTTTCGTATATGATGTTGAGGTATGTTCCCTCTATCCCCACTTTGTTGAGGGTTTTTATCAAGAAAGGATGCCATATTTTGTCAAATGTTTTTTCTGCATCTATTGTGGATCATATGGTTCTTATCCTTTCTTTTATTAATGTGATGTATCACATTGATTGGTTTGTGAATAATGAACCACCGCTGTAGCCCAGGAAGAAATCCCACTTGATCGTGGTGAATATTTCTTTTAATGTACTATTGAATTCTCGATTATTGAGAATTTTTGCATCCATGTTCATCAGGGATATTGGCCTGTCATTCTCTTTTTTAGTGTGAGATCCCCCACTCTTAAGGCAGGTTTCTCTCTGCCCAGGCTCTAACCTGGATGGAAGTCACTCACAGATCTGGACAGGTCTCTGAAACTCCTCTGAGCCACCATCACCTTCCTGCCGCTGGGTCAGGTTTTCTGGAGGAGATCAGCGCAAGAGCAGAAAAATTCCTCCCAGCTTTCAACATCATTGTGAAATGCAAGAGGACACTTAACTAAGGCTGGTGGTAAAAATCGTCGGATTCCTATCCAAGCCTGGCAGGGGAGGGAGCATGTGGTGCAAAACTGGGACTTGTTCTCAGCACCACGCTTCTGCCCCCAGATTGGGCATTTTAGAAGTGCTTGTTCTCATGGTTCAGAACTGCTCACGGTTATAATTTTGCACAGCTGTGATTTCTTGCCCATCTCTTTCTTCGTGCGTCCCCCAAGGCCCAGGATGTCCTCCTGCCTCCTGGCCCTCCCCCCGTCCCCACAGCAGAGTGGGGTCAGCAGATCATAGGTGCACAGTCAGTAGATGATGGATGCAGAAGTTACGTTCGTACTTGCTGAGACACGTGCTGTCGGATTGGGAAGGTTTCCTGAATGAATTTCCACATCTCCTGGATGAAGAGGGCGCCTCTTTTTCCAGGAATTGGAACATTCAAGAGCTATATTGCCAGAATCCACTTTTTCTTTAGTGCCTAAAATTTAAGTTCTGGGAACTTAAAACTCCCTTGGTAGAGATGACTTCCGGTTTTCTTGTATTCCTCCTGTCTCGCTGGACCAGCGGCCCTGGCTCTGCAGTGAGAGGTGTTGGGCCTGGGGCTCAAGAGGGCCCCTGGTAGGAGAAATGAATTGAAGGCAAAATCAGGGCTCTGAACCGAGCCCCAGGCCTTTTAAACATCTTGTGTTAATGCAGCAGAAGCTCACCAAAGGCCTTTCAGTAGAAGAGATTGGACATTCAAATCTAAGTACATTCACTCTGACCTTGGGTTGCAACTTTGCAGGAAAGTCTGACTTGGCTAAAGATTGCTGACTTGTGTGCTTTATACTTTGTGGAACACAGTCAGATTTCATCCACTGACTGATTATTCACCCTTGCCTAAAGTTCTGGCCTCGCCTCTCTGACTGGAAGAATTGTCCCTGAAGCCCAAGCCTCCCCTCTCTGACTGGGAAGATTGTCCCCGAAGTCCAGGCCTCCCCTCTCTGACTGGAAGATTGTCCCTGAAGTCCAGGCCTCCCCTCTCTGACTGGGAAGATTATCCCCAAAGTCCAAGCCTCCCCTCTCTGAGTGGGAAGATTGTCCCCGAAATCCAGGCCTCCCCTCTCTGACTGGGAAGATTGTCCCCAAAGTCCAAACCTCCCCTGTCTGACTCTCTGACTGAGAAGATTGTTCC